CCTCCTCCCCAACCCCCCCCCCCCAGCTGTCTCCATCATGTGTCCAGCCCCAGACTCACTCTTCCTCCCCCCACCTCCTTCCTTTGTTCCCCCCCTCCCCCCCCCACAGAACGGGTCAGGGCAGTGTCTGGCCCCCCACTGGGCCGTGCTCACAGACAGGGCCAGTAGGGGGCAGCCCAAGCCTAGTGACCAGCAAGATGCCCCCTACACCACACGGGGATAGACAGATAGAAGGGCAGCTAAAATGATGAGGGGTTTGGAACGGTCCCATATGAGGAGAGGTTAAAGCGACTGGGACTTTTCAGCTTAGAAAAGAGGAGACTGAGGGGGGATAGGATAGAGGTCTATAAAATCATGAGTGGTGTAGAGAGGGTGCATAAAGAAAAGTTATTTACTTGTTCCCATAATAGAAGAACTAGAGGACACCAAATGAAATTAATGGGCAGCAGGTTTAAAACTAATAAAAGAAAGTTTTTCTTCACACAGTCAACCTGTGGAACTCCTTGCCAGAGGAGGCTGTGAAGGCTAGGACTAGAACAGAGTTTAAACAAGAGCTAGATAAATTCATGGAGGTTAGGTCCATAAAAGGCTATTAGCCAGAGGGATAGAAATGGTGTCCCTGGCCTCTGTTTGTCGGAGGCTGGAGAGGGATGGCAGGAGACAAATCGCTTGATCATTGTCTTCGGTCCACCCCCTCCAGGGCACGTGTTGTTGGCCACTGTTGTCAGACAGGCTACTGGGCTAGATGGACCTTTGGTCTGACCCAGTACGGCCGTTCTTATGTTCTTATGAATGATCATAGAATCCTAGAACACTAGAACCAGAAGGGACCTCGCGAGGTCATCGAGACCATCCCTGCCGGGTGTCTGACTGATTTCGTACATTAGAACGTCAGTGTTCTTGAGCAAATACTCACGGCCAGTGTAGACAGGCAGCAAGTTTTTGTGCAAAAGCAGCTGCTTTTGCACAAAAACTTGCTGCCTGTCTACACTGGCCGTGAGTATTTGCTCAAGAACACTGACGTTGTACTGTACAAAATCAGTGGTTCGTGCACAAATACTCCGACGCTCCTGCTCAGGGATAAGCCCTCTTGTGCGAGTATTCTTGTGCACGAGGCCAGTGTAGACAGCCATGTTAATTTCTTGCACAAGAAAGCCCGATGGCTAAAATGGCCATTGGAGTTTTCTTGCGCAAGAGAGCGTCTACACTGGCATGGATGCTCTTGCACAAAAGATGTCTTATGCCCAAAAGCATCCATGCCAGTGTAGATGCTCTTTTGCGCAAATACTTTTAACAGAAAAACTTTTCCGTTAAAAGTATTTGCGCAAAATCATGCCAGTCTCAACGCAGCCCCAGTGTTTAACCCCCCTGAGAGGCAGGAAGCTTTTCCTAATGTCCAACCTAACCCTCCCTTGCTGCTCGTCCTGTCCTCAGAGGCCAAGGAGAGCCATTCTTCTCCCTCCTCCTTGTGACACCCTTTTGGGTACTTAAAAACCGCTCTCATGTCCCCTCTGTCTGCTCCTTTCCTAACTCAGCAAGCCCATTTCCTTCAGTTTTCCCTCAGAGCTCATGTTCTCCAGCCCTTTCATCAGTCTTGTTGCTCTTCTCTGGACCCTCTCCAGTTTCTCCACATCTTTCCTGAAATGTGACGCCCAGAACTAGACCCAACACTCCAGCTGAGGCCTAATCAGCCCAGAGCAGAGCGGGAGAACGACTCCTCGTGTCTTGCTCACAACACTCCTGTTAATGCCTCCTCCGAGGCCTCCAAATAGATAGATAGATAGATGGATGGATGGGGATGGGGATAGATAGATAGATAGATAGATAGATAGATAGATAGATAGATAGATAGATAGATGGGGTGTGTGGGGATAGATAGATAGATAGATAGATAGATAGATAGATAGATAGATAGATAGATAGATAGATGGATAGAGGGGGTGTGTGGGGATAGATGGATGGATAGATGGATGGATGGATAGATAGATAGATAGAGGGGGTGTGTGGGGATAGATGGATGGATAGATGGATGGATGGATGGATAGAGGGGGGCGTGGGGACGGACGGATCTCCCTCCTCCTTGTGACACCCTTTTGGGTACTTAAAAACCGCTCTCATGTCCCCTCTGTCTGCTCCTTTCCTAACTCAGCAAGCCCATTTCCTTCAGTTTTCCCTCAGAGCTCATGTTC